CTGCGCCACCAGGGCTGCCCACATTATTACATCTTTAAGAAATGTGAGAAGGCTAGTGATGACTGGGAAGAATTTATAAGTATAAGCATAAAGTAGTGTTAGCACAAAGTCTTTTAGTTTTTTCTAATTATGTTTTAATTGTTAAGCTTTGGATTTTTATCTTTTTGTTTTGTTTTCTTCCCCCTTGAAAAATGTGTAGCTTATTAACTTTTAAGAATGAGGAAAAATAGTATTTTTTAACCTTTTGTATCACATAATCAGCTGAGCCAGTTAGCTCAGATTTTTCCTAAGTGATTCACCTTTTGGAAAAGGCCAGTCATGGAAAGTTTTTGCCTAAATAAAGGCTTTTCACGAAGTTCTGAGTAAGTGAAATGAAGTTAAAATGACATTTCTGCTGATAGCACTTTAACTATAGCTAATAATGGCCCTTTCCTGTAGGCCTTTCCCTCTCTTATATTAGAAGTGATCTATGATTGCACTGTTCTCCTTGAAGATATTTTGAGAGCTTAATCCCTTCATATTACTTGTTAAAAATAGAGTTCTTCCAGACATACTATTCATGAAGAGTAAAATTCTGCTTTTTTACTTTTTTTTTTTTTTTTTTTTTTTTGCTTTTTTACTTTGTATTGATTCCCAAAGTCCTTGAGAGAAACAGCAGTTTATAGATGTCATTTTTTGTGACTCTGGATAGGACTTTGGCATTAAGAAGTTAACAAGAGATACTCCCGTAGACTATACCATTTTCATGCTTTCTTCATGACATTTACTGTATATCATGTGTTGTCATAACTTATTTCATGGTTAGCTGTCCTAATGGACTGTGAGCCCCTGAAGGGCAGAGAGGCCCATATATTATTATTTATAAGTTCCACATCTAACACAATGCTTGGGTCTGGGGTGCTTTTCAGAAAATGTTCACCGATTTGCTTTAGGTAGCTGCTGCAGGAGCTTTGTGAGTCCTGTGGTAAAACAGGTAAATAAAACAAAACATGGGACACCTGGGTGGCTCAGCGGCTGAGTGTCTACCTTTGGCTCAGGTCATGATCCTCTGTCCGGGGATCAAATCCCACATCAGGCTCCCTGTGAGGAGCCTGCTTCTCTCTCTGCCTATGCCTCTCTCTCTCTCATGAATAAATAAATAAATCTTTAAAAAAAATAAAAACAAGACAAAACATGCTTTGCATAAAGGCTTCTTTTACCTTTCTTATACCTTGAACCACTTGGTCTTCATATTTTATCATGAACATTCTAACATTTTACAGTGATGTTCCTTGATATGGATCTTAAAATTTCCCACATTAGGTATTCTGTGGTTGTTTTTTGTGAAAAGTCATCCTTCTAGGAAATTTTTTGTTAACAGCCTCTTTCATATGTCTTTCTGAAATTCCTACTTAACAGATATAATAATAACGCTATGCTAGGCCATGCTGTGATAACAAACCCAGAAATTCAGTAGCATAGCATGGTACAGTTGACCCTGAGAAACACAGGTTTCAACTGCATGGGTCTGCTTATATGTGGATTTCTTTTTGCAGAGCTGTAAATGTATTTTCTCTTGTATGATTTTCTTAATATTTTTTTCTTAGCCTTTATTGTAGGAATACAGTGATCACACATATGCAAAATGTGTTAAATCATTTGTTCATGTTATCGGTAAGGCTTCTTGTCAGCAGTAGGCTATTAGTAAAATTTTTAGGAAGTCAAAGCTTACATGTGGATTTTCAACTGTGTGGGGAGTCGGTACCCTTCACCCCTGCATTTTTCAAGGGTCAGCTCTACATATTACTGATGCAAAGTTCTATACAGATTGGGCAGCATTCCATCTTGTAACCATCTCAGCCATTTGGAACATACAGCTTTTGAGATTGTTATGGAAGAGGAATAAATAATAAATAGATTTTCATTTAATTATTTTGTTTTCAGAATGAGACGTCAGTCCTGCCATGTGAGCTCGGACCTTCTACAGTTTTCATTTCTCTAAAGAGTAATGGGTTTTGCTGGTTGAGTAGGGGACAGTGGCTTATAATATGAAGTTAGAGAAGGGGATGTGGACCTAGTTGCTCCTGAGATAAACTTTCAACTGATTTTAGCCCTTCTTTCCCTTCAAAGGCTCCCGGGATCTCAATTTACTGAGCCTTAGTAGGATACTGTAGTACAGATTGGCTTATTATTGGCCATTCCATATTGCTACAGGCTTAGATCAGAGAAAACAAAAACCAAAGCCAATTTCTACGTGTCTGTTTACTTCCTACCTTCAGAAAATTTGATTAGCATCTTTTTTCTGTTACATCTTTTCTCCATATCCTTAATAATTTTGCCTTTGTAAATTTATTTACCACTGTTTAGTAGGGTTTTGGTAGGGAGCAGAGAATAAAGCATGTGTTTAGACCGTCATTTCTAAGTGCAAGTGTCCACTTATTTTCATGAGCTGTCTCAGATTCTACCCAGGGCAAGGAGATTTAAAGCACCTTTTTTCTAGTTCAGTAACCCTGGGATTCTGCATTAAGCTTTAGGTCTGGATGTGGGTTTATTTTGATCGTCTGTGTAACACTGTAAGTTACTCCAAAGTTTAGTGGCTTAAAACAATTGTGTTCTTGTCATTTTCCATAGTTGTGGAGGGTAGCTGGGCTCTGGCAGCTCTTGCTCAGGATCTGTCATGCAGTTGGAATTAGTGGCTGGATGTGGAGCCATCTCGAAGACTTCCTTGCTTCCATGTCTTGGGCCTGGACTGGGATAGTCTCCTCAGGCATTTCTTCCTCTGTAGACTTCCCAGGTATTGTGTGTAGCATGGGAGATCCAGAGTAGCCAGGCTAACTTGAGGTTTCAAGGTTGCATTCTTAAGAGAGCACCAGGTAAGAGCTGTGTCGTCTTTTACCAGCCAGCCTCAAAGTCATGTACTGACACTCCCACTGAACTCTGTGAATTGGCAGCCACAAAGACCCACCTAGTTTTAAGCAGGGAGGTGGAAGGGGTGACATATATAATTCTTTCTCACTGGGATGATGTCCGGTTTTGGAAGAGCATGTAGAATGGCTTGTGGCAACCATCTTTGGGTTATAGAATCTACTCCAGGATTCTCTCTAGCATTGCTACTTAATCTCTTCCTAATTCTGGGAAGGTAACTTAGTTCCTTAGATTTCTGATTTCTTGTTCATGAATATAAATGTATCAGCTGTTGTTACAGAAATGCTGTATGACAAGCCATGCCAAACCTCAGTGGTATACAATAATAAGCATTTGTTTATTGCCTGTGTGTTTCCAGGTGTCTGGGGTTCAGCCAATCTGGGTTTAGCTCCAAGCTGCTGGGTGGATTCAGATCTTCAGTGTGTGTCCTTCAGCCATCTTGGACTAGCTGGTACCTGAGGTGTAAGAATACAGGGCTAAGGGGAGGAACTCAAGGGACTAATGAAATAGCACAATATTAAAGCTGCTTTTTCTGTCAGATCAGCTGACATCTCATTGACTATCAAAGCGTGCACCCAGGTTCAACGAATCAGTGGATTAGACAAGTTTCTTCTTGGTCAGTCAGGAAGGAATGTATATTTGCTGAATGATGGTCTGATCTCTGGTATAAATTCTCTCTCTTATTTTTGGCTCTTGGCTCCTGTTACTGAGAAGTTCATTGGGGAGAGTGAGAGATGCACAAATTAAGCCTAGTAAAGAGTAGGACCAGATTTTAGAGGGCCTCGAACAGGAGGTTCAGCAATTGCTGTCTCATCCTGAGTAAGACCGAGCCATTGCAAGAACATGGGCAGGGGAGTAACAGAAGCTGGTGTAGTGTTTAATCACTCCTCAAGATTAACTTGCCAGTGTTTCCCAGGGAAGGTTCTCAATACAGGACTCTCAAACTCACTCTGTGCTCCTGGAGTCAGTGACACCGTACGGAGTGCAGGAGTGAGATGGCTCTCAATAAGAAAACTTACTGCTGCTCCCAAGAGGCCTAGTCGGAAGGAGAGAAGAGGCAGAGACTTACATTCCTGCAAAGTTGGAATTTATCCAATTCACCTGTCAGTATTCTTGGCCCGTTTAATCTGGAGGACCTGGTTGAATGCTCATGGTGCAATGACCTTAATCTTGAACCCTCCTACAGATAGATTGGAATTTCTACAGAATTCCTCAGATGTTTTTGTTGACTTGGCAAGACTAAGCAGGCATTGGACACTTGTCCTCTCGTTAGTAGGAATCTCAGACACTGTAACCTTACTTGATCCTTTAGGAATCAGTTTTATTGAGGACCATTTTTCCAGATTTGAAATCAGACAGGATTCTTTATAGCTTTTTTTCACTCCCAAATGAGTGTTGTTTAGCCAGTTTTAAGGCATTTTGTTTCATCTTTGGGTTATTTTAGCTGTGAAACAGGAGCATTCTGCAGAATATTTCCAGATTATATAGTTGCTCTTCTTGAAATGTTAGTATTTTTCTCCCAAATATTCCATCTCCCCATTCCTCCCCAGACCTTAAATGTGAGTCCTAATCTACATGTGAGGTGGAGTGGGAGAGCTCTCTCAGCCGTCCTGTCCACAGCCCCCAGGGACTGTGACTCAGCAGTGACCACTGGAGTATGTAGAAGCTGACAGAAGTAATGGGGAGATTTTAGGGAGATAGGTACATACGTTGTTAATTCCTTTAGTAAAGGAAATTTATTTAGAACTGTTGTAGTAGACTTAAATCAGAAACCTTAGCCGCCAGAACTCATTGGGAGCCAATTGTGTGTTTTCCTTATTGTCACTTATTCCCTTTCCTTAGATTTTGAAAATTTTTAAAGATTTTATTTCTTTATTAATGAGAGACACAGAGAGAGAGGGGCAGAGACACAGGCAGAGGGAGAAGCAGGCTCTGTGCAGGGAGCCCGACGTGGGACTCTATCCCGGGTCTTCCAGGATCAGGCCCTGGGCTGAAGGCAGCGCTAAACTGCTGAGCCACCTGGGCTGCCCCCTTTGCTTAGATTTTGTTTCTCTCTTTTTATTCTTGTAAACTTGATGTCTCCTTCCTTGGCACAGGGTGACTAAGGAAGTGGATGCTACATCTAAAGAAGCCAAATCATTCTTCAAGCAAAATGAGAAAGAAAAGCCACAGGCTACTGTTCCTGCACCTCTGCCATCACTCCCTGCTGGGTCTGGGTGAGTGTTCTGGTCTCAGGCTCAGGTATGCCTGGCATGTTGAGAAGCTGTTTTCAGTACAAGCACTCACTTTAACTGTAGCTGGCCTGACTTGTTTTCTGAAAGCAGGCATTATGCTGCTGCTTTGCCTTTGCAGAAATAGTTACCAAAATGGAGATGCAAAGAAAAATTTCTTAGTTGATTCCAGCCTTAAAAAAGTGCTGATTTACAATGTTGTTGTTGTTTTTAAAGATTTTATTTATTTATTCATGAGATACACAGAGAGAGAGGCAGAGACACAGGCATAGGGAGAAGCAGGCTCCCCATGGGGAGCCCGATGCGGGTCTCGATCCCAGGACCCCAGGATCATGTCCTGAGCCAAAGGCAGATGCTCAACCGCTGAGCCACCCAGGCGTCCCCTGATTTCCAGTGTTGACCACAGAGCCGAACATGTAGTAGACTTTACACTTAAAAATAATTTTTGAATAAAAATATCAGCAGTTTATTAGCACTTCTAGTAAAGATCAGGGTTGAGCGCTCAGTCCCACCCCGCAAGGACCTCAAAGGAACATAGGAAGGTCAAAGCTGATTTACAAATAATTCTATTAACACGTTATGGGGAATTTAATAGTTTTCCTCTCTTTGTGTTTTCCATATTCCTTGAGTTATTTTTAGCTGAAGACTAGACTTTTTTTCCTTTGGGGGAAATACAAATTTCCTTCTTCATAACCTGTGTGTATGGTGTAAAGCATCAGAGTAAATATGAGAAGCCAAGGTGCGCTAGCCTACAGTGATGGTAACATGGACTGGCCCATCGGCAGCGCCCATCAACCACTGACTCCTGTGGGGAGGGCTGTGTCCTAGGGTTAGGGGTGGAGCAGATCACCTCTGGGGGCTTCTCTGACCTGTCATTCACACAGCTTGTCACTTCTTCCTTCTCTTCCTGAGCATACCTACCTACCTCGTTGCTATGGATAGTAAAGTTTTGTTTTTTACATTACATAACAAAATTTTTTTAAAAAAAAATCTTTGGTTTTCCTATCACATTATGAGCTTTTCTAGGACAGGCCTTTCTCATCTTTGTAGCCCTGGCTCCAAACAGTGCTATATAAGCTTGTGTGCTCATCTAGTTTGTGTTTACCCAAAGCAGACCCCGAGACAAAGGTTTGAGTACAAGTTATTATCATGGGAGGTGACTTCAGGAAGCTCCAGTAGGGAGGTGGAAGACGTGAGGAAGGAAGCCTGGGTAAGATGTATATCTTATATATCTAGCAGGTTATTGCCATTATTGGCTGGTGCTCACTTGGTTCTGCTTGGTATCTCAGGGAGGTGGTGAAGAACATGGCCAGGGCAAGGAGACTGGGATTGTTTTCTTACAGCTCCCGCCTGTCACTGGCTCAGGACTGCTTCTACATGCCCTCAGTCCCCAGCTGTGAGAAGCAGGGACTTGTGGTAAGATGCTGCTCTCAGCATGTGTGATGCTGCTCTCAGCATGTGTGGTGGTGGCGAGTGCAGGAATGTGGCTGGGCCATGTCCGCTTCTGCCGCATGCTCTTCATCTGCTCTTTACCCCAAGGCTTTCTATCCCACTGGAGCTAGTAGGTGGCAGAAGTCACATAGCAATTACATAGAAACTTAAGAAGGAAAAGGATTTGAGAGCTTGCTACCACGGTGGAAATGACAAACACCAAGGAGGGCAGCCATGGGAGTAACAGAATAATGTGAACAGGGCTCTCCACACTGGCCCTGATCATATTTTAAGACAGTAGTTTTCAAGCTGTGGTTTGCGATCATCATTTAAAATGGGGGTGCCTGGGTGGCTTAGTTGATTAAGCATCTGCCTTCAGCGCAGGTCATGATCCGAGGGTCCTGGAATCGAGCCTGCATCAGGCTCCCTGCTCTGTGAGGTATCTGCTTCTCTGCCTCTCCCCCCTGGTTGTCCATGCCTTTTCTCCCTCAAATAAATAAAAAAAAAGAAAATAGGGACACGTGGGTGACTCAGTGGTGAGCGTCTACCTTTGGCAGATCGTGATCCCTGGATCAAGTCCCACATCAGGCTCCCTCTACCTATGTCTGCCTCTCTCTGTGTGTCTCTCATGAATAAACAAAAAAACAAAAAAAGAAAAGAAAAGCAAAGAAAGAAAATGGAATGAAGAAATAGTGTACTATACTATGTGGTATTATTTCATAAAATTTTTATACCAAGTGACAAAATAAACTATTTTTAGTGAGGATTGGGATTAAAAAAAAAGTGTCTATAGGATGAAACAGCATGTTTTTAGCCTTATAATTATATTGTTTGAAAGGTTTTCTCTTCAAACCAGTAGCTTTCAGATTTGGTTGACTCACAGTAAGGAATATGTTTTATAGTATGTCCTAGTATATTTATAAATAATAAGTATGTAAAAAAGTAAAAGAAAATTTGGTGTAATATTTAACTTTACTACGCATGATGAATTCTCATTTGCTGTTTTAATGACTGTGTGTAGTATATGTCATTTAAAAAAATGTTTTGGTCCACTGAATTGATTTCACAATTTACTACAATCTGAATTTGACAAATAGTATTCTGCAGGTTTTACTTGGGTTACCAGGCATGTATGTGGTATTATTTAAACAGTGTCTCTTACATTTATTAAAAGTCCTACTGTAAAAATTAACTCTGGATTAAGTACCAGACAGAAATAAATATTTCTTTTTTTTTTTAAGATTTTATTTATTTATTCATGAGAGACCCAAAGAGAGAGGCAGAGGGAGAAGCAGGCTCCCTGCGGAGAGCCCAATGTGGGACTCGATCCCAGGACCCCAGGATCATGCCCTGAGCCAAAGGCAGACGCTCAACCACTGAGCCACCCAGGAGTCCCAGAAATAAATATTTCTTTAAATAATCCCCTATTGATGCTTAGAGATTCTAGTTGAAAACCATGTTTATTTCAGAAAACACTCTGTTGCTCTAATGATGAAGATAACTAGAGGAGAAGAGGCAGCTTACCAAGGTCAGCTTGCTTCAGTCACTGTGTCACTTGTGGAAGCGTCACTGTTCTGTATTCATGTCTTCCTTTCTTGGAAAGAGTGAATAGCTCTCAAGGATAAATTGCTGAGATGATATCTGTATTAGGGAGACCCAGCAGGAAACAGATGGCATCCTCAAATTAGCATTCTTTCGGGAGAGTTTAATAACTCACTAAGTGATGAAAAACCAGATATAGAATAGTGTGGTGTGCTTGGGGCTAGTAATATAATGCTGTATTACCTCCCCTAGACCTGAGGGGCCAAGAAGGGGAACAGTTTTGACACTGAAAGGGAGGGCCTCCTGACAGGAGCTGAGACCTTCACTTGAGCGATGGGCTCTCTAGAGGAAGCCAAGGACATTAATATCCAGATCTCCCATTCCTCCTTCTTTCCCATTGCTTGCTGTGACACTCCATTCTGACAGTAAAATGGTAAGGAAGACTCAGGATTATTACAGTAGGTGGCAAGACTATCACCATAAGGGGGAGAGATCAGGCTCAGCTCTCAGTACAGCAAAAACAGCTGGGGATTTATGGTCAAGGAGCAGAATGAAGGTAGCCAGGAGGGTGTCTGAGGATGAACATTTACTAAGAGACACCAGGGATAGGGAGATTCTTGTTAAACAGACTTAACAGGATTCTTGCTGAAGGCAGGCTGAGTACTTAGACATCAAGGCTGGGAAATGAGAAACTTACATATCAAGGGTGATCATATATCAAGATTGGAGGATTCTCTTAAAACTAGTCTGGCAGGATTCTTGCTAAAATTGGGCTCAATTGCTAAAATGCAAGCCTAGCAAGGATGGAGGCCAAGATTGAGGCCGAATTGAGAAGAGGACCCAAAGGAGCCTGATTAAGGTTTGATGAAGAAGAGTGTCTTTCTTGAGGTGTTTATACAGAACAGCATCTAGGACAGAGAGCTGAAAGACAGGTGGAATCTGGAGGGGCTGGTTGGTAAAATACCTTTTCAATAGATGAATGGGCTGCCAAGTCCCTTATAAAAGGGGGTCAAGTGAAATTTGATTAAAATCAGTGTCTTCTAAAGATTTTATTTATTTATTTAGAGTGCACCGGAGGAGTGCAGAGGGAGAGGGAGAGAGGATCTTAAGCATGGAGCCCAACATGGGACTTGATTTCATGACCCTCAGCTCATGATCTGAGTGAGCCAAAACTAAGAGTTGGATGCTTTTTTAAAAAAGATTTATTTATTTATTTATTTATTTATTTATTCATTCATTCGTTCGTTCATTCATTCATGAAAGACACAGAGGAGAGAGAGAGGCAGAGACACAGGCAGAGGGAGAAGCAGGCTCCATGCAGGGAGCCTGATGTGGGACTCGATCCCAGGACTCCAAGATCACGCCCTGGGCCAAAGGCAGGCGCTAAACCACTGAGCCACTAGGGATTCCCCAGGAGTTGGATGCTTAATCAGCTGAGCCACCCAGACACTCCAGTGTCTTATAAAATGCAGTAACGGAATGTAACAGATTACAAGATATGTCTGTTGAGTTAAAAAAGTGCTCAGAGTTGTACATGAAAATTTCTGAATAAATTTTTTAATGAGTCCAGAAGGTGACCTTCAAGGTTGTTGGCATGATCATTTTTCTGAAATGCATCTCAGAAAGCTTGTCCAGTTGTAATTGTGCGTGGGAAAAGATGGGGTCAAGAGGAATCCATCTGATCTGAGGTGTCCAAGTGGTCACATTTTATCAGTGCAAACATTAGAATCTGCTGCAGGAAGCACATGCCTGGCATGGGATGTGTTTTCAAGGGAAGAATCTGTAAGAATACAATTTATTAATATAAAATTATTGTAATACTTTTCCACAGATGTTTTTCATTTTCATTTTTTGGAGTTGCTTCAGTTTATAGAAATTGTCCAGCAGAAACACTTATATTTGTTTATTTTTCTCTCTCTAAACAGATTTAAGCAATACAGGAAAACCAGAGCAGGAGGGTAAAACATCCTGTCCCACATCCTTTGCTAGCAAATAAGAACAGATTCACAGAA